ACGTTTGGCACAGGCGGATTCCTTTTTTGCAGGTATGCCTGTCCAAATCTTGATTTCTCTCTTCTGTATCTCTCAGTGGGTCTCATTTTTACCCCTTGTGAGAAGTAGGATCGATTGTGTCTTGGGCAAAGTACCCTTTTCGCTCCAACCTCGACACCGTCGTCACTGTAACTTCTCACAATTCCTTCGGTGTCGGACTCATCATCATCTGTGTCTGCGAATCTCACTCCTGCACGAGCGACACCATCTTCCTCTTCTGATTCAGCTGCCACATCTTCTTGTGTGTCGTCATCAAATTCGAACAGAACTTCTTCTTTGTCTGGTTTTCCAAGTTCCACTAACTCAGCTGCCAGTTTGTCTAACATTTGCTTGGTTTCTTCATTGTCTAGTTCAGACTTGTATTCGTCTTCGTAGTCCATGTCCTCATTGGCAGTTATCCATTCGTGTTCTAGCACGGAGGATCACAACATAGATCACTCGACGTCCATTTTCGATTACTACAAAATCCCAATACGTCGGATCTAGGTCAATCATGTAGTCAACCAGCAGCCCAGTAATTTTCATTATTACTCGATCGTCTCCTTCTTCTTGCTCGGGCATCAATGTTTGGATAAACGCGTTAGGTATATCCATTGACATGACGTTTCTACCTTCATGGGCATCAATTACACCCGTGCAGATAATAGCTTCATGCGAAGCTGTGGGACTTGCAGTGTCCTCACGAGACAACCAATCCCGGGTCTCGTTACCTTTGAATACACAGCGTCCTTTGATTGTTACGCCATCATTCTTTTCGGCCAGTAGCATCATTGCATCTACGGCCTTCTTTCTTTCGGTCGGTTTTAGTTTCTCAATACTGATCGGTGTCCAGCAACTGCGCTTGATCAGTTGGTCAAGTTCTTTCATGGCCGCGTCTTTACCTCGCTCCTTGAATATCTTCAGTCCTTTATTCAGATAGTATTGCTGAATGAACGAGACTCCGTCTTGCCCATCGATACCACCGTTGACACCCTCACGTATCTGTTGAATAAAACGAGCAACTACCAATGCTTCATCAGCATCATATTTGCCTTTATTTGTGTTCCTGACTTGTTGGAATGCCAAATTGTGCATGCATTCCTGGATGAAACGCGCGTACTTATGGTTCCTTTGCAACTGTGCTCCATTTCTTCGCGTGTCAATTTGTTTCTTGATCGCTTGATACAACGAGACTCGGAGTCTTTTCATTCGTGCTTTTCTTCTCATTGCACGCCTGTTTCTCAAAACGTTAATAATAATAACTGAAACATTAATCGATTAAATGCTAGGTAGCGCATACGATTGCCGGTGGAATGGTTGGCTGTAAAGGTCAAGTACTGTGGAGCGGCGAGTCAACAACAAGTTTGAACCATGTGAGGCATCTGATAATCAGAAGTTGCTCTAGTCAGATCCAGATGGATTGGACTCTACCCGCAGCGTGGCGGGGTGATTTTGGGGCGTTGCTTCCACGAAACGTTGTTCAAGGGGAGTGGTCCGCAGGGTGGAAGAAGCGATGAAGAATATGGCATTGCGGCGCCAAAGCGCGGCGGTAGGCCGTGCGTTCCATCCGCACCAGCTTCAACCACTCCTCACGATCTACCAGTGGTTTGTTCAAGACTGTCCGGCGCTTGACCGAAAGCATGCGTTGGACAACCTTAGGTAGGTCAGTGGGACCCATATCAAACTGGTTGTGTATCCCGTCGTTGCTCTTGTAACTGTACATTGTCCTCTGAGTGTTGTACCGAGTTCCGATGTTCCCACAACTGGAAGCCCAGCAAAATCAACTGATGCGCATAAGGTCGGAGAGCGTTGGCTCCCGCGCGACTGCAGATATTCCTCCTGCAGCGGGGCCCATTGGCGGGACAATCTTCCTTCCAATAGCCCTTGGTAGCCAATGCATTGCTGGGATTGGAAGGCGCTGCGCAGTCGACCTGGTACCATTCAAATGGACAGGAGGGATGGATCGCGAACGCCTTTAAGGAGGGAGAGGAGGGCATGTTTGATGGCCGGATCTGTCACTTGGGTGTCCAGCCATAATTCCAGGGCCACTGTCCGGCGATCCCATTCAGCGCTGGTGGATGGAGCCATACATCGAGGTACGTGTAGGTGATCTTCGAACTCGCGACAGCATGGGCATGCAGCAGATGTGTCATATCCCCATCGTACCTTAAACTTGCCAACACCGCACATACCCACCATGTGCTTTGTGGTCCAGCGTTGGACGCCTGCTGGGAGAGATCGCATGGCCCGGGCCAGACTGGTCCAGTCGGTTTCCGACTCCGCCTCTGGGGTGACCATGAGTTTCTCGCGCCACCTCTTGCGTAGGGCGGGAAGCGCCACCAGCTCTTGGATGTAGTCTGGGTCCAATCGAGACTGCTTAACGTCTCCGATATAGAGAGCGGCCAATTCAGTAAAGAAGCGAGCATTGGGTGCAATCAGTTGGTTAGAAGCCTCCAACTGATGGCGGTATGCCACTGCCCAATTATCCACTTCAACATTCCTTTTGGACCACCAAGACAGGGACGAAAAGGATGTAGCACGGTCAAGGTGACCATACACATGGCTAGGCTCCCACATGCTTTGGAGCGCGCAAGGGCCTCGCGGAGGGAAGAGACCAGGTCAAACTGCGCCTGTTGGGGAGTGACTCGATTATTGCTAAAGGTATTGAGAAGGGCGGAAAACCCATCGCACGCGATCCTTACGCGGGGTTTAGATTGGAGCGTCGGCGCCCACTGGTGTAGCAACCAGTCAACAACCATGATGCCTGCGAGCAGGCCGATCAGTTCACTAAATTAGAAAGGCGCTTTGGTCCTGGGGCAATCCGGGAGTCTTGCACCGAACAATGATGCGGTCCTTCTCCCCTTTTCTTGGGAGTAGTTGTACAGCCGCCGTTCCCAGGTCTCGCTTGTATGATCCGTCGCTTATGACGCAGAGATGGCCAGACAATAAGGCCTCCACCAGCCGTCCTTCTCAAAACGTTTGGTACAGGCGGATTCTTTCTTTGTAGGTATGCCTGTCCAACTCTTGATTTCTCTCTTCTGTATCTCTCAGTGGGTCTCATTTTTATCCCCTGGGAGAAGTAGGATCGATTGTGTCTTGGGCAAAGTACCCTTTTCGCTCCAACCTCGACACCGTCGTCACTGTAGCTTCTCACAATTCCTTCAGTGTCGGACTCATTATCATCTGTGTCCGCGAATCTCACTCCTGCACGAGCGACACCATCTTCCTCTTCTGATTCACTGCCACATCTTCTTGTGTGTCGTCATCAAATTCGAACAGAACTTCTTCTTCGTATGGTTTTCCAAGTTCCACTAACTCAGCTGCCAGTTTGTCTAACATTTGCTTGGTTTCTTCATTGTCTAGTTCAGACTCGTATTCTTCGTAGTCCATGTCCTCATTGGCAGTTATCCATTCGTGTTCTTGGTAGTCTTCGTCCATCAGATAATCAGCATCTTGTCTAGCCTTAATCTTCTTGAACATTCTATCGAACATTTCATCCTCTAGCTCATCAGCTTCTCTTGCTGGCCGACCCTCTGGACACTTCGCGACCAGCTACAATTGGCCCCATGCCCGACGCCCTGGCCCCTCTCATTGGGACCTATGGCGACGCGTCCTCTCCCAAGCCGTTCTCCGCCCCTACAGCCGCCGTCGCCGCTTGTTGCAGCCCCTGGGACCGTGGTCTGATTCTCTGGAC